AAAAAAAAAGAAAGAAACCACACACAAAAGAAACAAAAGCTCAATTAAAGCCTGCAGGACTCTGGCAGTATGTGCAAATTCTTTCTAGAAGAGGATATCTTCATCCATACTCCAATTCAATGACCAGTATACAAATATAACTAGGAACTCAAGGAAACTAATCTTTCATGCGGGAGAACCAGCACAAAAATGGACAATAGACGCAGTCTGGCAGAGACTTCAGACACTGGAACTACCACACAGTGATTGTAAAACAATTACACTTACTGGGTTTAAATCTATATTGAATATGCCTGCCAAGAATAAGAAGCAACAGTAATATAAATGGGAAAAAACTAAACAGAACTTTTAGAAATAAAAAACTCAGTAATAAAATTTTTTAAAACGTTGGTGGGTGTAATAGATGACTCACAAATGAAAAAGAAAATTAATGAAATACTGACACCTTACTAGGTTTGATATATTCTGACATTTTTCTACACCATGGCATTCTATCTTAATTTTGAAATCCTCAGATGGTTGAGACCCAATAAACTGATTTTACATCCCCATGCTGTCTTTTTTTCAATATAATTTAAACCGATGGCTGCTCCATTTAATGGAACAGTGTCACAGACATGTATTTTTCGAAGCTTTTATTACAAAACAAAGCTGAGGATTGCCATACACACCACTGACAAATTCCTTATGTGCTAGTGTTGCTAGAACAAACTAAACGGAGCTGACTTCATTAATCCCTCCCCTGCGGCTCTTTCACTTTTGGGCAGAAAGAGGAATCAGATGGGGAAGAAGGTGACTTTGGTTTTTATTCTGGGGCATGTAACCTTGGGGCCTATAACATTTTCCATTGGGGAAGTTTTCAACTAGTGAACTGCCACCTATAACACAAACTTAGTCAAGGTTACTGTGAGTACAGAATAGAGTTTATCGGACTCAATATTATATTTGGAAGAACTTACTGATTTCTACTGGTTACTAGTTTTCACCAGACTGCAATTAGACAAGAAAAATAATGTCTATGGGGTTTTTCACAAAGCTGATTTATTTAAAAGGATTGACCCTTTTGCGGCACAGAAAAATAAAAAATAAAAGGGTCGACCTTTTAGAAGATATGTTCTACATTTTTATTCTGGGGGTCAAAATAATTTAAAAAGGAAATAATGCTGATAGTAAATGGCAGCTGTATTTTGGTTTTTTTTTAATAATCTGGTTAAATTTTAAAATTATAGTCCTATTGGTTCCCATAATTATTTTGAAAATCTGGATTGATCCATAAAGTTCAAAAACTAGGACCAGCACTGATATCATCTACCTCTTATTTGTTCATCCAAGAAATATTCTGAGGACCTACTACGTGCTCAAAAATGGCGCACAAATAGGAAGACTGCCCTGTGTGCCTTTCCACTCACAGTGAGCAACAGACACCTTTAATCAAGTTACTAAGAAGTTAAGCAGTGCTGGGTTTCCTAGAAGCCTATTTGGGAGAATCAATCACTTACTGAAAGAAGAAATAAAGCTGAGTTGTCTTGACAATGCACAGGTATCTGCCTGCTGCTGAGGGAAAAGGAATGAGGGCAAGAGAAAACCGTTTTGTTCAGAGAATCTGAAACAGTTCTAGGTGACTGGAGTTGGAGCACCTGGTGAATGCTAAGATGTGGTGAGGGTGAAAAGAGATTAAGTGATTGATTGGGGCTTGATAACGGTTTCGGTAGGCTTGGCTAAGGACTTTGATATTTTTTTTTAATTGTGGTATAAAAAGAAAACAAAACCACCTAACAGAAAAATGTGCCATCTTAACCACTTTAAGTGTACAGTTCAGGATTAAGAAAATTCATATTGTTGTAAAATAAGGACCTGGACACTATCCTATAAGCAACTGAGATTAATGGAATTATTGGAAGATTTTAGGATAGGACTGGAGATTTAGAAAGATTGTTTTAGAAGGTGGGGGTGGTAGGAGGTAGGGGATGGAGGCTAGAAGGGGCCACGGGACGCTTCGAGGGGAGTGTAGCTTGGTCACAGGGTTTTTTGCACAGGGGAAGTTAGAGAAGGAACTCGGCATACCCATGGCTGAGGTCCAAGCCTACATGGGCCAGCTTTCCAGAAGCTGGTGGGCCACATCCAGCCAGGATATATTTTATTAAACCCCTACAAGTAAAGAAAAAATGGGGGGGGGTGAGTTGCAAAAATTGAACAATTTGATCTCATACAAAATAATTTCCAGCTTTTCTTGAAAAAAAAATCCAAGTATCTGGGAACACTGGACCCATAGTACCTCAAGGGAACAATGAGCAGAGTTCGCTTAACAAAAAAACCCCACTATATACGAATGTACGAGAAATATGTAAGAGTACACAAATCAGTGTACAGCTTGATGGATGTTCACGAAGCTAACATACCCCACTAACCAGCACCCATATCAACAAGCAGAATATTACCAGCACCTCCGATGCCATATTTATTTAATCTTACTAACAATCTTATAAGATAGGTTATATATTACTATTGCCACTTTAAGCACGGAGACACTGAAGCATAGACAGGTCACAAGGCTTAATATCGTTGACAGTAGCTTTTGAACCTGGATCTGCTGATTCCAAATCCTGGAGAAGAAATAGGTTTCCAGGTGAGTCAGTGACTTCAGCTTTGAAAGACGTTGAGTAGGCACCTCCTTCCACGGAAACTTGCTTCCGTGTCTCAGAGCTTGGAAACCACAGGTAACCCGAAGCTTGCACCTCAAGTCCGCACCGCTCGCGCGGGCGGGGAGCACAGTTTCTCAGCGACAAGTCCCCCTACACTTGAGGGCGCTGTCGCTGCAGCAGCTGGGGGAGTGCCTTCCTGTTGTCGCGACATTCTGGAGGAGGGAGAAACGCAGGTCAAAGGTCACGTCGCTGGCGAGTTCCGCCCCGTACGCCTAAGTTCTCGCGCGAGTTCCACTTCCGCCCTTTTGGCTCCCTGAGCAGCACCATGGCGGTGGGCAAGAATAAGCGCCTGACGAAAGGTGGCAAAAAGGGAGCAAAGAAGAAAGTGTAAGTGGCGATTTTCCTGGCTCTCTGCTTTTCGGGGTCCTGTTAGGATCGGCGGGATGGTCGTGGGTCTTGGTGTGGGCCGGATGGCGAGGATGCCAGTTGGATGGAGCTGGCCGTGCCGGATTGGTAAACCTCCAACTGCGCTCTGCCGGATCTGGGTGCTGCGTCGCAGCGGGCCGGCTGTCTTCCCTTTGGCTGTCTGGGCCTGTGCGCACCGCTTTGAGCTGGATTGCTGCCTCGGAGTCGGCGTTGGCGTGTTGCGTATTGTGGGCTCACGGGCTTTTTAAATGCCGCAGATAATGTAATGGATGCTTCAAAGCTGGAGTTGAGGAAGGCACTCTCGTCCATTCGGGACCCCGCACCGCTCCTCTACTTGGGCCGGGTGGAACTGGGGAGCTCCAAGTAGGCTCGTGTGAAGAAGCCCTGTAAAAGCCTGGGTTCCCAGGACGTGCCCTCCTGTACCAGGAAATTCAAGAGACCTGCATGTTATTGGGAGGCAGTGCTGCCTGCGTGCTGGGGAGTCCGCACGTTTGTGGCTTAACTGTGAGACGGACGGACACTGGGAAGAGCTCGAGCTACATACGTGCCCTTGAGAGGTCTGCTTGCTAGTTAGCCTTGTAAAGTCATTAGAAGAGGCAAGTAAAAACATGTGATCTGCGGTAAAAGTGAAGCTTTTTTTTTGTTTTTAATCCAGGGTTGATCCATTTTCTAAGAAAGATTGGTATGATGTGAAAGCACCAGCTATGTTCAACATAAGAAATATTGGAAAAACACTAGTCACGAGAACTCAAGGAACCAGTGAGTATCCTATTCTTGGTTTGTATATATTTTAAATTGAGACTGTATGTATCTTGGTCTGCTGTTGTTCCTGTGGCAGGAGAAAGGAAATGTCAGCTCTTGGTTGCAGCTCTGGCCCCTGTGGTGCGTATTTTGAGGACACTGGTGGAAGCAAGGTGGCACTTTAACATTCTAAGGTCAACTTCATGCATGAACAGTTACCTTCATTGGCTTGACTCTGCTCATGTGGTTCCTAATGTTAATAAGACAACTGATCTTGTTTTATAGAAATCGCGTCGGATGGTCTGAAGGGCCGTGTATTTGAAGTGAGCCTAGCTGATCTGCAGAATGATGAAGTTGCATTTAGAAAGTTCAAGCTAATTACTGAGGATGTTCAAGGCAAAAACTGCCTGACTAATTTCCACGGCATGGATCTTACCCGTGACAAAATGTGCTCCATGGTCAAAAAATGGCAGGTGAGAATGAAAGCTCTTAGCGTCACGGTGCTATGGCGTGCATGGTCAGAGTGATGTCACATCAGGGTGTAATGTCAGCAAGGGGCATGTCATACAGTTCAGGTTTAGGTGATCATTTTAAAACCTTGATGTTTTCTTGATAACTATTGAGTGCTTACGCTGGAATTGACCATTGAACTTGAGCAACAACATGGAGCAGACCATGATCCTCCTTTTTACTTAAATAGAGTTCAAAATTTATTACTGGGTTAGTTGGTGTTGCATAGATCAGTGGCTGATTGAGAAACATCTAGGTTCAGGTTTGTAATTTTGCTTGTCTTCAGACTCTTTGGACCTCAAAAGCTAATGGATTTTATTTTATTATATTTTTGCTAATGGATTTTAAACTGAACAGGTGGTTTGGGCTGGTCTTAATTACTTCTGGCAATATAGAGTATTATATAGAACACAGTAAAGTTCTGGTGTAAAGTGGAAGTCTTGACTTCTGTTTCCCAATTGTATTCTCTTTGGCAAGAAACTTCAAATTTGCTAAGCCATGATTTCTTTGTCTTTAAAACGTGGGGAAGAGTGTCATTTTATGGAGTTAGGATGAAATACATGTTTAGCACAGAGCTTGACACAGAAAGCATCTAGTAAACATTAGTACGAGGTAGGAAATAATTGTCTTGGTTCAGATATGTCTGGGTAACCATCCAGTCTACGATACTTTGTATGTGGGAGTGAATGATGGCAGAACATTACAGTTCCAGATGATACATACTGAGTATATAATTTTGTTTATTTCTGACATTCCCCTAAGGTTCTGTGGTTGCATTTCTGGGAATATTTTAAGGTCCTTTTGCTATAATTATATTCATTTTTTGAACCGAGATATGAAACTTATAAAATGCATAGGAAGAAATTCAGTTTTTATTGCTACCTGAGAGTTTTTTGTGTGTTTTGGCTGTGAAATTGAATATTTGTCAGCATGGCCTTAGTTGGAACATAAATGACACTTAAAAGCATATGTATTCAGTGATAATAACATTTCACCTATCCAGAACACTTTTTTTAAAGATTTTATTTATTTATCTTTAGAGGGGAAGGGAAGGAGAGAGGGGGAGAATATCAGTGTATGGTTGCCTCTCATGGGTCCCCTGCTGGGAACTGGCCTGCAACCCAGGCACATTCCCAACTAGGAATCAAACCGCGATCCTTTGGTGCGCAGGCCCGCGCTCCAATCCACTGAGCTATACCAGCCAGGGCCAGAACACTTTTTATTAAAAGATGAAATAAGTGTTGACATCCATATTGTAGTCTCATAGAATCTATTTTCTTGTGTTGCTGATTGAGGGGAAGAATGTTAAAGGGTTGTCGTGTATTTGTAAAAAGTTGGGGGGTGGGCGCTATTGCCAGTGATGGTGGGGATAGAGGGGAGGAGGGAGGATCGTTGAGAGGACCTCTTTAATTGGATGTGAAGGATAGTAAGAATTTGGTAAGTTCATTTCAAGGAAGTTAATTCTGGAAATTTGATAATGTAATTTGTTATACTTTATGCATGATGAATACTTGACCTTTCCCTTTTTTATATTACAATTTGAGGGATAAAAATTGATAGTATTAAAACCTGTTATATCTGCCCTGGCTCAGTTGGTTGCTTCTGTACACCAAAAGGTTGCAGGTTCGATTCCTGGTCAGGTCATGTACAGATTAGATGCCTGTCAGTCTCTCCCTCTCCCTCAAATCAGTCAAAAAAAAAAAGAAAAATCCTTGGATAAGGATTTTTTAAAAAAACACCCTGGTATAACTGACAGTATCTTTTTTTTTTACCCCACCCCCCAGACCATGATCGAAGCTCATGTTGATGTCAAGACTACCGATGGGTATTTGCTTCGTTTATTCTGTGTTGGTTTTACTAAAAAACGCAACAATCAGATTCGGAAGACCTCGTACGCTCAGCATCAACAGGTCCGCCAAATCCGGAAGAAAATGATGGAAATCATGACCCGAGAGGTGCAGACAAATGACTTGAAAGAAGTGGTCAATAAATTGTAAGCATTTCTTTTCTCTATCACCACAAAACCCTGAATCTGATTAACCCTCAGGTGAGGGAAAGCATCTGAGATAAGGTGGAATCAGACCTGTGTTTAAATTCTGTCGTGAAACCATCTAGCTACCTTTCTTGAAATGAAAGCATGCTAATGGCTCAGTAAATCAGATTTGGTTCTTGTCCTTGTTTGGCTGAAATTATCTCATGGCAGTGAGGTTGAATAGAAAAACCCTCCACAATCAGTAATGCATGGGAATAAGTGATGACAAAATGTTTCGGTCCCAAATGATGTCCAGTGATAAAATTTAACATTTTTCTGATGTTCCCATGCAGCCAGCTGACTAAGGGGGTGTAATGGAATAGCCAGAAGGCTCGGATGCTAACTCTGCTCTATAGCAGCTGTACAGTTCAAATCATTTCACCTTCACCTGTAAAGGGGCAGTAGTAGGCTAAGGCACTTAAGGAGTCAGTGGATTAAAGGTAGGGGAGTTTCCGTGTATATTTACTCCAATTTATTGTTACTGGTTTGCAGGATCCCAGATAGCATTGGGAAAGACATAGAAAAGGCTTGCCAATCTATTTATCCACTTCATGATGTCTTTGTCAGAAAAGTCAAAATGCTGAAGAAGCCCAAGTTTGAATGTAAGTAAAAAAATCACTGGATTCCGGTGGCAGAGGGTGTGTGTTTCCTGTCAAGCTTACACAGTATTGAAGGACCATTGTTCAAGATATGGTACACCGTAACTAACAGAATTTTATTCTTCTTTCAGTGGGAAAACTCATGGAGCTTCATGGTGAAGGTAGCAGTTCTGGAAAAGCAACTGGGGATGAGACAGGTGCTAAAGTTGAACGAGCTGATGGATATGAGCCCCCAGTCCAAGAATCTGTTTAAATACAGACATTTAATGGCAGCAAATAAAAGGGCCTATTTGTGATATTTTCTCTAATCATTCTTTTAAAACAATCTTATAGGTTGGTGAATGACATGCTCTGAATTGACAGCAACATGAACTTTTCTGGATTTTATCTCTTGTTCTATATAGCTGAGAGAGGGTAGTGATTATTTTAAGCTGTAGTGATCTGGAGGTGTTAAGAGGTGGCTAATAAAAGGAAATCCTTTTTTAACATGGCTTAAAGTTTTGCTGGTTTTTAAGCCATTTGGAAGGCTTGTTGCAATGTTGCAGGCAGTATCCCCGGAGTTTCTGAAGTTGAATGTGATGCCGATGCCCAGGGACCTAGTCTGAGAACTACTGTGGTAGACTGACCAGTGGGAAGGACCCATTGCCTTTTAGTTTTTTGTTTTTAAATACAAGTGCTCTTTCCTGTAGTTGTAAAATGCCCCGCTGTGCATCTGAACTTGGTTAAAGAAACTGGTTTCTCGTCTTAATAGACGGGCATTTAATGCAGCCCGATACCCAGTATTTACTCTTCCACCCAGTCTGTTCTGCGCCCTTCCCCTCTTCAACCCTTTCTTACTCACACTCTGCTGATTCCCATTCCTTTCGCCCTGCCATCTGTGCAGGGGTTCACATTTTCTGCCTTGTCATTGGGTGATAGGACATCTTTGAACCCAGGACTAACTTCCTTATGCCTAATCCAGGAGTGGCTCTGGCATTTCTTACCTACCTCAAACCCCTTGCGGCAAAGTTGAGCGTTAACTACACTATATTTACTTTGTCGAATCTGCTGCAGTTGTGGCTCCCGTCTCCCATGTCCACAGCCCTCTAAGGAGGCTGTTGCTGTCAGGATTACAGTTGGCCTTTGTTGCTAAATCCAATGGTTCTGTTCTTGGCCTTCATTTTACTTGACCTGTATTCGTGACATTTGACTGTTGATATCCTCCTGTTCTTAACTGTCCTTCAAAGTCCCACAGATGTTTCCTCCCACATCACTTGTTATTCCTTTCCTAGTTTATCCTGAGACCTTGGTTTTGGAGAGCCCTAGGCTCAGTCCTTGGCCATTACCAGTACTCCCCAGAAAGTGACCTGTGCCCTTTTGAGGTAATATGTCTGTATGTGGGGGAAAATGGGTCATGAGATGCCTCCATTTCAAACAGGTTTTGGGTCCATCTATTGTGACAGTAACACCAAGGATTAGAAGATCAGTTTAAACACAGGCTGTGATGACTAATGGTTTGCTCTTAGAATATATCAGGGTGGTGCAGAGCTAGTGCTCCCCCCACCCCTTGGCTTACTCAGTGCTGGAACCTGGAGAGGATGAGTGAGGTCAACACCACAGGTTGGCCTCATCTACTGAGCCCTATGGATAACAGTCTTCATTATGAGGTTCTAACCTTCTGTGTTAATCAGTGCCTGAGGGAGGACCATATTCACGGTCCAATTCCAATTTTTACATATTCATGCAAAAATTCTAGCTTGTCCAAGAACGTGTCGTGCAGAGTGAATTGAGGCAATTGGCTGTGGATTCTGAGTGTTCCTGCCTGCTTTTGGGTGTGCCATGAATATGATTCTCTGCTCTTTATCTGGGCCATTTCTCAGGGTTGTATTTGTGTCGTGGGAAACCTTGAGGGATGAGGTAATGTATCCCCCAGAAAAAGAGCAGGCTTGCTTCCACTTAGGTGTCCTATGTAATACAACCCACTGCATAATGGGCCTTTTGCATCACCTTATGGGACTGGGGGAGGAGGGATGGGAAACAAATGAGCAGGAAGCTCTGACCATTAGCTTTTGCAGTAAGAGTCCTTTGACCCAGCAGTCTCATGTCCTGCCTGTGTCCAATGAAACAAGCAGGCTAACTTTGGTAAAATGTCTATAGACCGCAGATTCTGGCATTCCCTTTCCAGTTGTTTTGAGGCAATATTTCAACATGTATCTCTAAAATGACTTCTTTAAACAATCATTAACACCTCTAAACTTCTTATAATTCATATAATTCCAGTCACACCACTTACTGGGTAATTCTTAATTGGATATAATGTAATAGGCAGACCACTTACTCGGTAATTCTTAATTGGATACAATGTAATAGGCAATAGATGTGTGGAAACTAGGAAGGGTAGTTAATATTCACTAAGACTGTGAAGTGAATTTTAGAAATAACTAGGTGTAATTAGCTTAGTCTGCAGTACTGTAATTGTTTTGTGTCAAAATACAACCTCAGTGACTGAAACTGATAATACAAATAGAAAACTGTTCATAGGCTGTGGAGTAACTAAGACTCAACAGTGGAGAGTAAAATGGTACAACTATTTTGGAAGATGGGTGGCTTTTTTTTTTTAATCACATATTTATCTCAATTCTAGGATTTCTATATATGAAATTCTGTATGCACAAAGACTTGTCTAAGAATGTTCATACCAGTCAATAATAGTAAAAGTGGGAAAAAATTGTTCACACTGGCTTTATTCATAATGGTTAAAAACTGGATAAGACCCCAAAAGACAACAGATAAATTAGTCCTGACCCAAGGAGCTCAGTTACAGCATCGTCCTGATAGGCCAAGGTTGGTCGACCCACATACAAGCAGCAACCAATGAATGCATAAAATAAATGAAACAACAAATCAATGATTTTTTTCTCCCTCTAAAATCAAATACAGTGAACAAATTGTGGTATTTTTCTATGATGAAGTACCACTGAGTAATAAAGGGAATGAACTGCTGCACACATATTGGATAAATCTCAAATTATATTTGAGCAAGGAAAGAGCAGATGCTACATTGTTTCTAATAAGTTCCTAAACAGGTAAAATGAATCTGGTGCTAGAAATCAAAACAGTGATTGCTCTGTAGGAGGTGGGGTA